AATTAAAGAGGAAATTTCCTTAAAAATCATTAATGTTAATTTGAAGCACAGCATTGACATTTTCATCAGAGACAAGTGAAATTTACTTCTCTGCTCTCTGGAGATTCTCTAATTTAGTAGCAATCTTGATGTCCTCCCCTGAGCTCCATCTTGTCCAATTTTTAACAAAGGTGTAATTTGAACTTCAGGTCTTGGCTTTTATACTTCCACAAAGTGTTCAAGTGACAAATGTTGTTTATTTTTCTTCAGTACAAAGGTATTTGTCCTGAACTATGCCACAGAGGGAAAGATGCTATATGGGGCTTCCTGAGAAATATTTGTAAAGAGGCATTTAGGAAATATTAAAACAAAACAAAATAAACAATTTGGACAATCCAAAAGAATAACATATTTATGACATTATATTATTACAAATTATATTGAAGAAGAAATTTTCAGTTAACTTTGAGACAGAAGTGCATGAATATACAACATGGTTACTACAGCCATAGCTTTATGAAATTCCCTGAAAATTTTAAAATTTCCCAAATTGGCTCTAGTGATGACCTTCAACCACCCCTACAACCATTCTTTCCACCCAAATATTTATCAATATGATTTCAGTGAGTCTCATACAAGGCAGATGAATATATAGTTCCTTGACACAACATGGAAAATGCATTGATTTTTTTTGGAAACCTACCATCTGCATTTCTTAATTTTCATGAAACTATATTTAAACAATCCAGTACATTTGTTGTCTGCTTTTTCTACATTACAATTCAATCTAGGATTTGATAGATGAAGGAAAAGCCATTATGTGGATATGCTACAGTACATACCACTAAAACCAAATCATATTTTTTGTTTTAGGAAAACCAATTTATTTACATTTCATGTCTATAAAAACCTACTTAAAAACTTGAATTGGTAAAAAAATCATAATCCTAAATTCTCTGAAAAATACACATTTTCTCTGACTTAAAGCAAAATTTCCTAACTTTTCCTTGACCTTGGAGGACCTTTTTTTCCTGACCATTTCCTGACTTGTGGCAAGATAAAGTAAAACCTGTACTTGAGCCAAGTTGCCTATCAACCCAGAGTTTAGCTTTTGCATGAAGCAACTAGACACCAAACCAAAATCAATCCTCAAACGGAGAATAGCATTATAATTATTGGTACATACGGTGAGTAATAACAAATAATCAGTGAACATTTTGAATTGGGTACGAAAATATTTGATTTAGGACTCTATTGGTGGAGTTTTTGGTTTAAATACTAGTGACCAGTTCTTGCTTTTAACACTAGTCTCTGATTTTTCCATTTTGACACTCATGCCTAATTTTTTCTTAGACATTAAAGGTCACTAGAGTGCAATTTTTGATTTTGGACACAAATGTCTACCTTATGATTTTAGACACTTGTGTGCAATATTTGTTTTTGGACACTGGTGTCTGATTTTTTATTTCTGTCACTTCTTTCGGATTTTGCTTTTAGACACTAGTGTCTACTAAGTAACAGATCAAGGATGACCTCAAAATGTGGTTAGAACAAGAAAGTGACAAACAAGGCCCAGCCAATTGTATCACTGTTGTTCCTGTTGTATTTTAACATCTCCTGTGATCTGTTACTGACCTGAATATAATTGTTTTAAATCATAAAAAAGCAAAATTCTGTTAATCGTAGCATAATAGATAAGAACCAATCAAGTTCAACTTATCGTATGAAAACAAATAGATTAGAATCACGTGACGTCTGGAAGTACAGTGTATTTGTGTTAAGTGCACTGCACACTTTCTGCTCCAGTCGTTTTTTTGCTAAACAAGTAAAAAAAAACCTCATGGTGTAAGTTTGCCTTCCAACACCGTTGAGAAAGAAAACAAAGAAAAAACTGATCCAATGCGAGCATTACAACATGTTGTTTTAGATCACGCGTTATCTATTTAGTTCCTACATGTACTGTAGAATTGCATAGAGCTTGTTTGAAGCCTCATCTCATACCCAACTGAGGCCTGAAACAACGTTTCGAAAAGAGTTTATCCTCACCACCAAAGAATGGGCGAGAAAGATCCGCGATAGACGACCTCAGGAAGGTGATTGGGCGACAATATGTAGTTATCAAATGTAATAAATTGTGCAAAAATACTGTTTACATGTAGGATCGGTTTACACGACAAATTGTTCCTGTTCTTAGTCCGACGTTTGTACCAAGTCCGTAGTCTGCAGCTTCGTTTTTAATGATTAAAGACATGACTCAAATTCTTATAGCTTTAAGATTATCGCGCTCAAATAAAGGTTAAATTAATGACGATCATGTTTATTCCTTACCTATAACGTGTCGTGGAACTGGCTGTCCCACGTGGTCTACATTTCAGAGTTTTTCATCCACTGTGAGGCCATTTTCCTATCTAAACACCATCAAACAAGAGCCAAAATGTATTGAAACGCAACTGTTATTTAAGCTGCTGTTTTTGCTTCAGCTTGGGAAACAGAATGGACAGTTTGCATCCATCGTTCACGACGTAGCAAAAATCCAATTTCCTCGTTAACTAGTTCCAGTGTTTTTCGTCCTCTACAGAAAATGCGTTACGCAAGGTTCGTCACGTAACGTGAAATAATATTTGAATACGTGGAATATATTTGAATACAAATCAATTTCTAAATAACGAGGGGAAACTGCAGGCACTGACTATAATCTAGCCCAATCCAATCAACTGGGGAGTCCATATAACTTGTCTCAAATTCTTTTTGAAGATAGAAGGGAAACTACTGGAAAGAGACAAGTTATTTTCAAATTCACGAATCTTGACTGGAGTAGTACAACTTTCTTCGCAATACCCTCGAATAACATTTAAATTGAGAAAATTGAACTATAAATATGATAGGAAAATAGATATTGAACACGGATGTATAAAGAAGATTTAGACGGATTACCTGTTACCCAGATACAAATGGGGTCTATTATTATTATTTCTTGGTACTAGTACAGGCATAAATGGGTTAAGATTGCTTATCATATCTCTTTAGCAAGCTCGGTTAATACATTTTTTATTGTATTTTTTCAAAACAGACATTGGTAGGGAACAATCATGGAAATTAAAAAAAAAACGTTCGACAACCTTTATTTCTCCCGAATCAACTTATAGACGGTGAACAGTGTGCAGTGACGGCGAAAGATGTGCTGATTTAAATAGAGCATTATGATGGTGAATTGTGCGTAGTTTAAACGAAAGATGTGTGATGACGGTGAATGACGCGCAATTTTAGTGAATGATGCACAGTGACAGAGAATGACCTGTAACAACAGTGCGCAATGATTTATAATGACGGTGAGTGATATGCAATGACGGTGAATGATGTTCAGTGACGGTGGATGAAGCGTAATGATGTATAATTATGTTGATATGTTTCATGACTTACCTGTGACAAAGTAGACATAATAATTCTCGAGACAAAGCTCGCTGGTATTTGCGAATGAATCGCTGAGATTGATAAGGATTATTGTTTTATTTTAAGTGCTCCGGATGATTATCAGAGTAACTACATCTTAAATCAGGGCCCGCGCGCAGCCAAAGACGAGCTTGTGATCATGAGTTTGAGTTGGGGGGCACGATGCTTAGCCGATTTATTAATAGGAGAAAAAGTTTATTTCCAAATATCCCTTGTGATATCTATCAGATTCATTATTGCTTCATCGACATATCACATATCCTCTACAATGTACAACTGACACAAACCTAATTTTAATTAGTGATATTTTCGGGTATATTAAATTAATATAAAACAGCGAAGGGTAATGTGGTAGTGGCAGGTATTTACTGTATGTTGTATTCTTTGACGATACCAAAATTTCACTTTCTGCTGCAGTTACGGTCAGTAAATTCGTTGGCAATGTCAAGAAGGGAAAGTCTGTCTTTTCTTTCTAACTGTCTGGTAGCGATAGGTTGCTAAACCGTTCTTGGGTCATTGTTGACATTCGGAGAGAAACGCTCCCTTAAAGTCTCCAGCCTCATGTCGATTTCACGTACAACTACCCCTGTTAATTGTGGTCTCCCCACTGATAATACTGTGGTAAAATGCTGAGATTGGTTGTCTTCAAACACCGATTATCTTCTTCATAGTATAACCCTGAAAAGCATGCACAGTAAACGCATATTATAAGAAGTCATGCTCATGATGTGAGTCGAAGGTAAGGCGTGGAAACTAGGGCACATTTGCTGTCCGAGAAAAGATATGACAAAGGGCCGAGTCTGCCCTCATTTTTTAAATACTGGGAGAGAGGAAATGAGAGCAGAGTTGTGAGAGAGGTGCTTGGAGCGGTTAAATCTGATGCATAGCAAGGGTTATTGGTGTTCGATTCCGTCTAGAATTGTTTTGTATTACAAGAGGACAAGGTGCTTCTACGATCAATGCTTGTAGTGTGAATCAACCGCCAAAAGTTCTACCCTTTCATACGATTTCAGGTCATCACATTTGTACTTTTGGGTCAGAGAGGATGTCAAAGGGCATTATAACGTCCATAACATGTTCGCCTCTGCCAAGTTTGGATCGCAACTCAATCAATAATTTTTCCAAACATTTTTCGTTTTCTTAAGCTAACTTAACCCTTAAAATATAACGGATTGCACCATTAATCTCCTTCAGTATGTGTTTTAGAATTATCACATAAACCTACCGGCATTGCATAAAAAAACAGGACTACCATAGCTAATAGGAGACAGATCACCAAGAATGTTATGACCTTCCATTTGTACCGGCGCCACAAAATGTAACGCAGGCTTTTGAAAGGAGACGAGAACCAGGCAAAGGATGTGGCAGGACGACTGCAAAAAAAATTTCAGTGTTTGTTATAGCAAGCTACCTCAGTTGGCCTCACAGAGTATTTTTAAAGGGCAGGAAACGAGGATCTCCTGTCAACGGTAACCAGCAGTTAGTGATCAACGGAATTTATCACTGGCAACGCTTTGATACTTTAACTCCAACGAGTGATTGGCTTCTTACTTCTCCTTACAGTATTAAAATGAATCAAATGCACAGGTCGTGAGAATAGTAGAAACGATAGCAATTGAAGAAGTACCTGATTGTCGAACAAATTCTCCTTCCCATTAGAGAGAACAGTGTAGAGAATACGGATATGAACGTTAGATTGTAAAGGGTCTAGACTAAAATATTGCTTAGGTCATCATCGTGGAAACAGATTTGTCGGGAAACTCGGTTACAGGAGCCGCTAGTTAACACAACGTGACCTTTTCCTTCGTTCTGTGTGTCTCGCCCTGTAGTCTCCTGGAAGACCTTAAAACATAGCCGCTCCTTGACCCATCACTGGAACTGACACTTAGAGAGCATTTGTGTAATATTCATTGATTTTTTTGTACTTACTTTGGTGGATCCAGTGTTGGGTTTTGGTTCGGCTCATCTCGTCCTGTTCCAGCGGGCTTCTCCTCAGCTTCTTGTTGTGTCAACAGTTCTAAAGTCATCTCTATTTTACCCTGCAAGTGAAAAGGAGTCCACTACTTCAGTAATATACACAACATTATAATTGTACCTCGGCTTAAATGGAAGCCGTGCCTTAGCTCGAGAATGGTGAGTCACATTCTTATAATTCCATCACACTTTATATGCAAAAAGCCGAAGTGTCTCTTCGAGGTTAACACTTTACGAAGTATTCTTTTCGTTTTTGTTCATACAGAATAATTGTCACATTCTTTGCTACAGTAGTACTTAAAAGCTTCATTTGAGGGTAATTGATTATCTAATTACGCCCAGTACTGGCCTGTCTATTAGAGCCACAGATTTCCTTTGCTTCAGCACTTTATTAAGATTGAGTACATACCGCCAAGATTTGCTCTCCATCCGCCGTTCCCACTGCAGGCCACCATCCATTTGTTCGCTTCAGATCAAACAGTGACACTGTCTCTATGTTTCGTCGCGGTTTGTCTTTCAATCCTGGAAGCTGATCTAAGCTGCACTTGCGGGCATTTTTGGCAGGTTTTGGCATTTTGTTTAAGTTCAATTCTAACGTACCTAGTAAAGAAAAGACACATAAACCACTTTAAGATGATCAGTGGTGGTACACTGGCGATGTAATAGGTCAGAGGAGCTATGACATCCTATCATTCAACAACAGAGTACAAAGAACGTGCGAGTCGAGTACAAATATTCGGCGGTATCGGACAGTTCGTTATCTTGTACTGTAAAAAACCTGTTTAACCGGTTAGCTGCGAGTGTTTCGCTTCTTTATCTGCCTCACTTTTCCCGCCTTATAAGAAATGCGCATAAAATAAAGCAGGTAACAAATAACTTATACTCGTTCTGGTGTGTAGTATTGCTGAGTATTTTTACTCGTTGTTTGTATTTTGACTCACCCTAATCAAAATACGGCACAACTCGTAAAATACTCAGCAATACTACACACGAAAACTTCTAATAGGATACATGCACCGAATTGCAAATAATTTTTTTTTTTTTGACAAACAACCATTTTGTTCAAATTCAAGCAGACAGCAGCAAGCAGACAGGTGATGAGGATAAATAAATTATCAATTAGGGGAAGTAACATGATTGAAGCCAACTTCTTACGTCTATTATTATTTTAAAAGAATGTATTGGAAGACAAAACGATAACAGGTTTGTGCTACGATCGCGGCAAATCAGGAAAGTCAGTTTGTAAGTAAGATTGCTTTTTTCGGAGCTGTATCTTCAACTTAGGGTGTCCATGGAATGGCAATAAAATCTAAAAGTAACATTAAACTGTTCAAGAACACAACTTATGCAGTTCACAAATGAGGGAAAGAGACTTACCGAGGAAATCGTCCGGAGAGAAAAGGTCGTTATCCCAGATCTGAAGAATCAGTTTAGGGGGAATCCTCTGCTCTCTTATATCAAGGCTCCAGAAGTGTGCCTGTCGAAACAAAAAGAGATGGAAATTTGCCATAGTGATAACAAATGCTGCCCAAATGCGGAACCTTGATTTAGAAAGAGTTAACCCCCATTAAATTGGAACTTTAATGGTAACATAATAACGATGATAATAACTTTGTTATTCATATAGCGCAAAATACATGGGTATATGATCTAATGCGCTTTAAATTACAATGCTTATAACATGCCCATAATATCACAATGAAATGAAAAAAAATCACAGTTTATCTAAATAGTTAATAAATGGATACTAAATAAAAATATTATATATATGCATATAAAGATCTATGTTAAAATACCATAGGTCATAAGGTAAAAGCCAATTGAAAATAATGAGTTTTAAGCCGTGCCACAAAAGTTTTGAGACTGCCCAAAGCTCTCAAAACGTCTGGAAGGGCGTTCCACAGGGTCAGCGCGGCTGCGAAGAACGCCCTGTCTCCTGTTGTCTTCTCGGTCTTGTTGGGCAGATCGAGCAGTAAGTGTTTTGTATTTGATCGCAGGTTATAATTTGACTGTGGCTTAAGTCTAATTAAGCTTGAATGTCATTTCTTTCGCCATCATGTACATGATTAAACCCATTTTCCGTAGTGGTTCTGCTTAACCATTAACTCTCTGAAGTAATTGACAATATACTTCTCCCTATAATACCCATAAATTATCCGCAAGCAGGTAATGAGAATACTCAACATTATCGGGTCGAAGTTTTCACCTTGATCTAACGTCAAATTCTCGTAACTGATTTAAAATGAAATGAGTAGCAGCTAGAGAGGAGAATAAACAGTCAGATCCGGGAAGTTAAAGCGGGTAAAGACACAGACTCTTCTTTCTTGATTTAAATTGTTACTTCATCCAATCAAATGTATTTGGTTCAGTAACAATTACGTATGAACTACTACAAAAGCAGGCTATTTCATACCTTTTTTCTTACAACCATGACTTTTTCGGCCGGAATATACAAGAACGGGAACAGAAATCTCCAGTTAAAGTTGCCTGTACCGTCTAGAGACCTAGAAAAAACCGTCAAATCATGAAGGCACTTTTCGACGGAGTTTACCAGAAAATAACCGTAATAATCAGAGCAACCGATCAAATGGAAGCAAATTATCCCGTGGAGCCAATGAGAACCCAAAGGAGATACAACCACACAGCCTGAAGCGCGGGAAAACGCGGGTGACCAAGTCAAGGTAGGTTTTAGTATGGAAACTGAGTGGTCGAGAAAATGGAGCAAGTTTTCTGGACCAATTACACAGCGAAGTAAAGCAAACCCAAAGAAATCCCTGACTACTTTCGATAATATATCAATCAATTAATCTAAGAGATAAAGGCAAAACTAAGGACTCTAGGAAATCAGGTCCCTATGTGAAACTGTTTCGTTTTGTCTATAACTAACCTGTAGTGAACATCTGTCTTTTCTTGTTTATCAATCCCCGATATCCATCTGTGAATCGAAAAAACTTGATTTAAGTTAATAATTTCATGTGATATCAGGCCAAGCGGAAATTTAGCGGTAAAAAAAGTAAATTCAGCCGATGATTTCCTTTACAAAAGAAAATTCTAATAATTGAAAAATAGGTCCTGATAGAATGGGAGGGCTCTTCGACCGTCGTTCTGTTTTCTGTGTATAAAAACTTCCCTCGATCGAAGGCTGAGAAACATAAAGGAAGCCTTAAACATTTCAGAAAAAAAAACCAGTTAAACCTGTAACCCATAACAGTGACCAGCATCTAATATCATCTCAAAGTAGCACTAATGAACCAAACACAGGCGCAAGCCACAACAAGGAAGTTCATAATTGTTAGACAAATTCTCCTTGTCAGTGCCATAGAAAATGTAAACCTAATATCATGGAGAATATGCGTACTGATGTTAGGTTGCAAAAGGTCAACACATCTAGATTACCCTTTCACGTAAATGTCGCTCATCGCTTCACCCAAAGCAGACACTTCCTCAAGAATGACATCACTCGTGTTCCATATGATGACACGTAACATGTACTCTCCAGGCTCTCGGGGTGAGATGTTAAACGGTAACCCTGGCGGTCCATAATTTTTAGGGAAAATGTCCACCCACATCTGAAGTTTTCCCTGAAGTAAAATTACGAAAAATATCATGAACATGTGTATTATCTAGTTCTGCTGGATAAATGGAAAAAAAATCATCAGATTCTAAACGTTTTGTCTCTCAAGAACGTGACTTTGGGAGTGAAAAGAGGCCCTTGCAAAATAAAGAACGTTTCGTAGGAAAAGGGTGATTTCCATGGTCTTTTATTGGGCGAGTTTAGGCAAGGAAATCGAAAAGAGTAAAAAAGCTTTCCTCACACGTTTTGGAAAAGGCGCTAGCTTTAAAAAATTCAGTCATTTAGCAAAAGCGAAAGGGCAAAACTATCGAAAAGTAAAAGTAAACTTTCCAGGTAATGTATCATACTCGTCGTTATAGTTTCCTGGAATCCAAAATTCAAGATAAACAATTTCAGCTCTGAATCAAACCAGTTCATATTAATGTGACAAGTAACAAACCTGTTCTACACCAGGCTGCAAGGTGTTGTACAGCGGTCGCGTTTCCACGTGCTCTGGCACCAGTGGTAAACCGTTCAGCAAGTGCAAGGCAAGGCGTTGATCAGGGGGACCCATGTGAGGAGATATTGTCATTCCAATCTCTGCAAAGAAGATAAGGGAATAATCAAATTGATTCATGTGCAATGGAAGGATGAAAAAATGGAAGCCTCACACCACAAATATCCTTCTCTTGTCAGAATAATAACATCGCTCATAGTAGAAGTGATAACCAACAACACCGATTTGTTAAGGACAGGCAGAAAAATGAATCTTGGCATGTTGAATCCAATTTCGTGTAACACACGCGTCTACGAACTCGTTTGGAACTGAAATTAAGGTTGTATCGAAAGGCTGTCGTTAAAAGCTAACTCTCTAATTACAGTAAATATTAGCAGTTTCTAAATGTTAATTAA